GTGATAATAATCTCTAGGTCCATCCATGTTTGCTGCAGATGGCATTTATTTCGCTCTTTTTTATGGCTGAGTAGTATTCCTCATCGAGAGGAGGGCATGGCGGCCCACTGCAGCATTCCTGCCTGGAGAATCCCATGGACAGAGGAGCCTGGTGGGCTGCAGTCCTTAGGGTCACAGGGTTGGACACGACTGAGTGACTAAGCACATCCTGTAATTATATATATATACATATATATCTCACCTCTTCTTCATCTATCAGTGGGCATTTAGATTGCTTCCATGTCTTGGCTCCTAGCTGCTGTGAACACTGAGGTCATGTATCTTTTTGAATGAGAGCTTTTCCAGATACAGAGCGTAAGAACTTTCGCCTCCCATTGTGAATAAGCCCAGATAAGCCTCCCCCGCTCAGCACCATGCCCTTTGCTAAAGAATTTCCCTCCTCACTTGGCGCCTGTGATTTGTCCTCTTCCTCAGGTCCATGAGGTGCTCTTAATCACGTGCTTGGGCCAATGCAGGGGTTTTTCAGACACTGCTGACATCTGGGCTGGGCACGGTTTGTCGTGGGGACGGTCCCGTGCATTGCAGGACACCGAGCAGCCTCTCTGGGTTCGGCCCGCTGGACGCCAACAGAACCTGCTCTCAGCTACGACGACCCAACTCGTCTCCAGACTTCGCCAGCTGTTCCCTGAGAGTAAAAACGCTTCCTCCTCCACTTGAAAACCCCCGAGTCACTGGAAACAATTGTTTTCAGCTGTGGGAGCAGGAAGGGGGTGGCGCGGGGCCCCTCCAGGGGGAGGTGACCAGACCCAGATGTGTCGCTCTGATCCTCACACTGCAGCTCGCTGGACAGCCATGTGTTTTGTGTTTAGAGGGGCCCCAGAGACTCTTTTCCCATTGTCTGGGAGGTGCTGGCAAATTCTGAGAATGACCAGGCTCCTCCCCCTGGTGAAAGGTGATGACACGTGTGGATGTCTTGATTAGTGAGAAGAAAGGGCCACTTCCTCAAATGGAAGGGGAAGAAGGGGGAGTCTGGGTTCTGATCCTGGCCCAGCTCTAGACGGCTGTGCACCTTCATGCGGAGTCACTTACCCTCTGAGCTGCGAGGACCAAGTGCACCCAGGGATGAGAGGTGTCCAGAAGAGTGTTTAGTCAGCATTGGTCTGCCCAGTAAATGCAAATTTTCCATTTTAACACTGAATGATGCCGCGTGTGATGGCCAGGCTTCCTAATAGCTTTGTGATGTTGAACTCTGTAAAACCGAAACCAAATGTAAGGATCCTCTGCCTGGTGTTAGATGTGAGGGTAAATGAACGTTCAGTAATTACGCAATGCAGGCCGCAGTGGGGGCCAGGACATTGCCTCTTTCCAGGAAGGAGAAGAATCGAAGAGCTAGAGAGAGCCTGAGAGCTCATTCAGTGACTCCATGGTTCGTGCTGAACTGACTCAAATGTTCTTGGAAAATTTGATGTTTTCTTAAAAACATCGGGGGAGATGAAGGAAACACAGATGCACAGGGCAGCTTTTACAGAAAGGCTTGACCGCTAAATTCCCTGTCTGTCGTTAGCAGTGCCGGCCCGCTGAACCCACCTAGCCCCCTGCAAACCCCTAGTAAACCAGTCTATGTAATTATGTTGGAATGGGCTTGGAAATCGCACCTAGGCTTGCAGGAGGCATTGTGACCATAGAAAGAGTGGAAGTTGCTTTGAACAGGACCAAAGAGAAAATAACAGCTTACTTCTCTCTTAACTTGACTAACATCGACTGAGAAAAGTGAGCCAAACCTCCTGAAGAGTTGGTCACCCGGGAGGCAACGGCAGCCCACTCCAGTGTTCTTGCCTGGAGAATCCCAGGGGCAGAGGAGCCTGGGGGCTGTAGTCCACGGGGTCGCAGAGAGTCGGACACGACTGCAGTGACAGCACAGGGCTGATCAATTTGAGGCTGTTTTCTTTTTGGGCTCTGATCGGATGGCCCAGTATCTGCTTCCGGAAAGTCCTGGATTTGAAGATCTGAAAGAGCCTGACTCTCTCCCTCCACGGCTTTCTTTCTCCCTCCTTCCCTTCTGTCTTTCTTTCCTTTTTAAAAAAAATGTATTTGTTTATTTGGCTGCTCCATTGAGGCACGTGGGATATTTAAGTTGCAGCATGTGGGGTCTAGTTCCCTGACCAGGGATCAAGCCTGGGGTCCCTGCACTGGGAGTTCAGAGTCTCAGCCACTGGGGTCCCTGCACTGGGAGTTCAGAGTCTCAGCCACTGGGGTCCCTGCATTGGGAGTTCAGAGTCTCAGCCACTGGGGTCCCTGCACTGGGAGTTCAGAGTCTCAGCCACTGGGGTCCCTGCATTGGGAGTTCAGAGTCTCAGCCACTGGGGTCCCTGCACTGGGAGTTCAGAGTCTCAGCCACTGGACCGCCAGGGAAGCCCCATCCCTCCTGCCTTCATTTCATCTTTACCCCTACATCCGTCCACCCAGTGGTACTAACCTGGCAAGACCCTGAGCAGTTAAATGCAACCCGAGTTGCTCCCGCCCCAGCTCCATGAGTGAGAGGCAACTTTAAACCACCTGAATTCCCAGGACACAATTTACATTTAAAAATTGAAATGTAGTTGACTTATAAGGTTGTGTTAGGTTTAGGTGTACAGCAAAGTGATTCATTTATATTTGCTGCTTTTCAGTTGTGAAATCGTGTCCGACTCTTTGCGACCCCGGGGACTGCAGCGCCAGGCCTCACTGTCCTTCACTGCCTCCCACAGTCTGCTCAAACTCATGTCCATCGAGTCGGCGATGCCACCCAGCCATCTCATCCTCTGTCATCCCCTTCTCCTCCTGCCTCACTCTTTCCCAGCATCAGGATCTTTTCCAATGAGTCGGCTCTTCCCATCAGGCAGACCTTAAAGTATTGGAGTTTCAGCCTCAGCATCAGTCCTTCCAATGACTATTCCAGATTAATTTCCTTTAGGAAGGACTGGTTTGTTCTCCGTGCAGTCTAAGGGACTCTCAAGAGTCTTCTCTAACACCCAGCTCAAAAGCGTCAGTTCCTGGGCCCTCAGCCGTCTTCATGCTCACTCATGTACATGTGTGTGTATTCTTTTCTTTTTTCAGACTCTTTTCCTGCACAGGTTACCACAATATGTCCAGCGTAGTCCCCTGTGCTGTGCAGTGGGTCCTTCCTGTTTTATGTGTTCTGTGTGTTTCTGTGAATCCCAATCGCCTGATGTGTCCCTCTGTGCTCCCTTTCATCTTTGATAATCACAGATTCGTTTTCCATGTCTGCGAGTCTATTTATGTTCTGTCAATTAGCTCATCTGCCTTGTTATGCCTGTTGTTACTACTGTTGTTATTCTGGCTGCACCGCGCGGACTTGCGGGCTCTTGGCTCCCTGTCCGGGGACTGAACCTGCCCCTTGGCAGTGAAGGCATGGAGTCTGAAACACTGAGCCGCCAGGGAATTTCCTGTATTATTTTTTTAGATTCCACGTATAGTGATATTAAACAACATTTGTCTTTGACTTACTTCACCTAGCATGATAATCTCTAGATGCATCCATGTTGCTGCAAATGGCATTATTTCTTTTTTATGGCTGAGTAGTATTCCACTGTGTACACTCATCTATCCACGGACATTTAGGTTGCTTCCATGTCTTGGCTATTGTAAATAGCACAATTTACATTTTAATATAAGAATTATTTTAATCACTGTTGATCTTCTACAGTCTGCAGAGCTGTAAGTTACTTAAGACTAAGGAAGGTGGTGGGCAGCTGGTCAGGACACTCACCACGTTTCAAAGTCTTACAGGTTCTTCTGTGCTCCTTGGGTCCCTCTTTCCTGCCCCCTTGCTCACGGTGCTCCAGGCACAGTCTCCCCGCACCCTCTGACCTTTGTGTCCTCTGGTCCCGCCCGCCTGGCGTGGGCCGGCCTGAGACCCCCGGAGCTCTGCGGACCGCATCCCTCTCAGGGCGCTGCCTGGAGGCCCCCTTCTCAGGGAGGCCCCCTCCTCCACCCCTCCCCTACTTCCTCTCCCCTTCCAGCACTTCCTGCAACGGTGGAATTCTGCCTCCTCCACTGCACGTCTGCTGGATGGAAAATTACACTGACTACCAGGTCCCAAGTACTAGGAATTATTTTTAGAATCATAAGTCTTAAGTCATAAGATTTAAGATCTTTTCAGAACTCTGTCATTATTTTTTTAATGCTGGGTTTCTTGATTGAAATAGAATTAATTTACAATATTGTGTTGTTCAGGTGTACGTCAAAGCGATTCAGTTATGTATTTATATTTATATATATGCACTTTTCAGGTTATTTTCCATTCGGGGTTACATTACAGGATATTGAACATTTGAATATTGAATATTTGAATATTGATATTGAATATTTCCTTGTGCTATTCAATAAATCCTTGCTGCTTCTCTATTTTGTGTATAGAAGTTTGTGTTAGTTCCACACTCCTAGTTCATCCCTCTTCACCTCTCTTGTCCCTTTCGTAAACATAAGCTTGTCTTCTATGTCTGTGATGTGTTTCTGTTTTGTACATAAGTTCATTTGCATTAATTTTTAGATTCCACCTATGTGATATCATATGGTATTCATCTTCCTCTGTCTGACTTACTTTACTTAGTATGATAATCTCTAGGTTTATCCATGTTGCTGCAAATGGCAACATGTGATTCTTTTTACCACTAACCTTCCAATGTGTGTATATATAAAATATATATATGTGCGTCTAGTCTCTCAGTGGTGTCTGACTCTTTGCTTCTCCATGGACTGTAGCCCGCCAGGCTCCTCTGTCCACGGGACTCTCCAGGCGAGAATACTGGAGTGGGTTGCCCTGACCTGCTCCAGGGGATCTTCCCGACCCAGGGATTGAGCCGGGGTTTCCCGCATTGCGGGCGGATTCTTTACTGTCTGAGCCGCCAGGGACGTCGTCACCACATCTTCTTAAACCAATCGTCTGTGGATGGGCTCTTGGTTGTCTCCACGTCTTCACTGCCGTAGAGAGTGCCGCTATGATCACTGCGGTGGGACCCCGCTGTTTTAGGGCAAGGAAACCGAGGGCAGATGAGGAAAGTGACCGAGGTCAGGGCCGCGCAGTGGGTGTCGTGATGGAGGCCACCTTCCAGACCGGCTGCTGGGTGTGGCCCTTGCGGTGTCGCAGCGGACCACCGCCCTTCACCTCCCCGACACAGACTCCTCACCTTCAGAAGAGGCGTGCAGCTGCGGCTGCTGCTTGCTGGAAGCATTAGGTGAGCTGCCCTGCCCAGCAATACCGAGCAGCAAATGTCAGCGTATTTAGTTCAGTTCAGCCGCTCAGTCATCTCTGACTTTTTGCGACCCAATGAATTGCAGCACACCAGGCCTCCCTGTCCATCACAAACTCCCAGAGTTTGCTCAAACTCATGCCCATTGAGTCGGTGATGCCATCCAGCCATCTCATCCTCTGTCGTCCCCTTCTCCTCCTACCCTCAATCCCTCCCAGCATCAGGGTCTTTTCCAATGAGTCAACTCTTCGCATGAGGTGGCCAAAATATTGGAGTTTCAGCTTCAGCATCAGTCCTTCCAATGAACATCCAGGACTGATCTCCTTTAAGATGGACTGGGTGGATCTCCTTGCAGTCCAAGGGACTCTCAAGAGTCTTCTCCAACACCACAGTTCAAAAGCATCAATTTTTCGATGCTCAGCTTTCTTCACAGTCCAACTCTCACATCAATACATGACCACTGGAAAAACCATAGCCTTGACCAGATGGACCTTTGTTGGCAAAGTAATGTCTCTGCTTTTTAGGTTGGTCATAACTTTCCATCCAAGGAGTAAGCGTCTTTTAATTTCGTGGCTGCAATCACCATCTGCAGTGATTTTGGAGCCCAAAAAAATAAAGTCTGACACTGTTTCCACTGTCTCCCCATCTATTTCCCATGAGGTGATGGGACCAGATGCCATGATCTTAGTTTTCTGAATGTTGAGCTTTAAGCCAACTTTTTTCACTCTCCTCTTTCACTTTCATCAAGAGGCTTTTTAGTTCGTCTTCACTTTCTGCCATAAAGGTGGTGTCATCTGCATATCTGAGGTTATTGATATTTCTCCCGGCAATCTTGATTCCAGCTTGTGCTTCATCCAGCCCAGCGTTTCTCATGATGTACTCTGCATATAAGTTAAATAAGCAGGGTGACAATATACAGCCTTGACGTACTCCTTTTCCTATTTGGAATCAATCTGTTGTTCCATGTCTAGTTCTAACTGTTGCTTCCTGACCTGCATACAGGTTTCTCAAGAGGCAGGTCAGGTGGTCTGGTATTCCCATCTCTTTCACAGTTTTCCATAGTTTATTGTGATCCACACAGCTGAAGGCTTTGGCGTAGTCAATAAAGCAGAAATAGATGTTTTTCTGGAACTCTCTTGCTTTTTTGATGATCCAGCAGATATTGGCAATTTGATCTCTGGTTCCTCTGCCTTTTCTAAAACCAGCTTGAACTTCTGGAAGTTCTCGGTTCACGTATTGCTGAAGCCTGGCTTGGAGAATTTTGAGCATTACCTTACTAGCGTGTGAGATGAGTGCAATTGTGCAGTAGTTTGAGCATTCTTTGGGATTGCCTTTCTTAGGGATTGGAATGAAAACTGACCTTTTCCAGTCCTGTGGCCACTGCTGAGTTTTCCAAATCTGCTGGCATATTGAGTGCAGCACTTTCACAGCATCATCTTTCAGGATTTGAAATAGATCAACTGGGATTCCATCACCTCCACTAGCTTTGTTCGTAGTGATGCTTTCTAAGGCCCACTTGACTTCACATTCCAGGATGTCTGGCTCTAGGTTAGTGATCACACCACTGTGATTATCTGGGTCATGAAGATCTTTTTTGTACAGTTCTTCTGTGTATTCTTGCCACCTCTTCTTAATATCTTCTGCTTCTGTTAGGTCCATACCATTTCTGTCCTTTATCGAGCCCATCTTTGCATGAAATGTTCCCTTGGTATCTCTAATTTTCTTGAAGAGATCTCTAGTCTTTCCCATTCTGTTGTTTTCCTCTATTTCTTTGCATTGATCGCTGAGGAAAGCTTTCTTGTCTCTCCTGACTATTCTTTGGAACTCTGCACTCAAATGGGAACATCTTTCCTTTTCTCCTTTGCTTTTCGCTTCTCTTCTTTTCACAGCTATTTGTAAGGCCTCCTCAGACAACCATGTTGCCTTTTTGCATTTCTTTTCCATGGGGATGGTCTTGATCCCTGTCTCCTGTACAATGTCGTGAACCTCTGTCCATAGTTCATCAGGCTCTCTGTCTATCAGATCTAGTCCCTTAAATCTATTTCTCACTTCCACTGTATATTCATAAGGGATTTGATTTAGGTCATACCTGAATGGTCTAGTGGTTTTCCCTACTTTCTTCAGTTTAAGTCTGAATTTGGCAATAAGGAGTTCATGATCTGAGCCACAGTCAGCTCTTGGTCTTGTTTTTGCTGACTGTATAGAGCTTCTCCATCTTTGGCTGCAAAGAATATAATCAATCTGATTTCAGTGTTGGCCATCTGGTGATGTCCATGTGTAGAGTCTTCTCCTGTGTTGTTGGAAGAGTGTGTTTGCTCTGACCAGTGCGTTCTCTTGGCAGAACTCTGTTAGCCTTTGCCCTGCTTCATTCTGTACTCCAAGGCCAAATTTACCTGTTACTCCAGGTGTTTCTTGACTTCCTGCTTTTGCATTCCAGTCCCCTGTAATGAAAAGGACATCTTTTTGGGGGTGTTCTAAAAGAAAAGGTCTTGTAGGTTTTCATAGAACTGTTCAACTTCAGCTTCTTCAGCGTTACTGGTTGGGGCATAGACTTGGATTACCATGATATTGAATGGTTTGTCTTGGAAACGAACAGAGATCATCCTGTCGTTTTTGAGATTGCATCCAAGTCCTGCATTTCAGACTCTTCTGTTGACCATGATGGCTACTCCGTTTCTTCTAAGGGATTCCTGCCCACAGTAGTAGATATAATGGTCATCTGAATTAAACTCACCCATTCCAGTACATTTTAGTTCACTGGTTCCTAGAATGTTGATGTTCACTCTTGCCATCTCCTGTTTGATCACTTCCAATTTGCCTTGATTCATGGACCTAACGTTCCAGGTTCCTATGCAATATTGCTCTTTACAGCATTGGACCTTGCTTCTATCACAAGTCACATCCACAACTGGGCGTTGTTTTTGCTTGGCTCCATCCCTTCATTCTTTCTGGAGTTATTTCTCCACTGATCTCCAGTAGCATATTGGGCACCTACTGACTTGGGGAGTTCCTCTTTCAGTGTCGTATCTTTTTGCCTTTTCATACTGTTCATGGGGTTCTCAAGGCAAGAATACTGAAGTGGTTTGCCATTCCCTTCTCCAGTGGACCACATTCTGTCAGACCTCTCCACCGTGACCCGGCTGTCTTGGGGGGGCCCCACGCGGCGTGGCTCAGTCTCACTGAGTCAGACACGACTGTGGTCCCGGGATGAGATTGGCCAGTTTTCTGTGATTATGGTCTTAGTGTGCCAGCGTATTAGGAACCCACAAAACCGTGACCCAAAGCCACGTGGTCCTCAGGACTCTGTCCGGACAGAGTTCCTTCCCTGGGCTCACCTGGTTTTGAAGGGGATGAGCAATGCAGCCAGGGATTGGCCATCCTCAGGGACTGCTTAGAGCAGTGGCACTCAACTCTTAGCATCGCTCGCGGTGGGAGGGGTGGGGCGGGGGGAAGCTTATTCGGCAATCTGCATTTCCAGCAAGTTCCCAGGTGACAAGGTGCTGCCAGCCCCCCGGTTCTTAGGCCAGGGCGACTTCTCTTGCTCCACATGGTTCATGGCCTCCGGCAAACGTGTGGCTTCACTTCCACCTGCTCAGCCCAGCTCCCGCCCACCCCCTCCTCTGTCTGGCCTGGGAGTTCCTCTTCTGTCCTTACGTGCATTTCCGTGTGTGGTGCTTCTCATCTTTCTGGCCTCATTAATACCTTATCATTCTGTAAAACAGCAGCTCAGATAACATTTTCAGATTTTTTTAAAAAAAAATTGTGGGCAGGATGGCTTATGCCATTTGCCCTGGCCAATTAAACCTAAACTGTTTTGGCCTCCTGAATCAGGCTCTACACAGATCACCTCCTTCAGGAAGCCTTCCAGGACTGCTCAGACTCAGCAGGTGTTTCTTCTAAGCTGTCTGCTTACCACTCTCATAAATGGGCCGTTTCTTCTAAAGGGACTGTGGATAATGTATTATAAGGGCGAGGAAGTTGGATTACTCCTCTCTGACCCAGTCCTCTTGGCGTTCTTTTCATTTCAACCAGCAGAGGGCGGCTCAATACCACAATTCTACCCAGCCGGGTTGCGCCTTGGGGGTGAATAACCCATACCTTCCGGTCCTCAGGAGGCCTTGAGGCAAAGGGGAGATGTTGAGATGGCCTGGTTATCTCATCTGTGGGTTAAGTGCCAGACTTGGGTCCAGACTTTTCTAGCGGTGTGATCTGGGGCTTTGTGACTCGCCCAGCTGACCCTCAATTTTCTCTTCTGTAAATTGGCTATGATAATGCCCCATGGAAGTTTCTGAACACTGAATAGATTGGTCACATGAATTGCTTAGCCCAGAGCCTGAATCAGGTGTAGCACGTGCGTGGGTGACTGTGGACTAGTGATTGCACCTCTCTGCTCCTCAGCTTCCTCATCTGTAAAATGGGGATAATTTAAATACCTCCTTCTGGGCACCTCCTCCGTTCCCTTTATTATTGTTATTACTTGGTAATGATGGTGATCAAGCCTCAATATTTACCTGTTCCATAGTTGCTGGTTGTGGGTCCAGATTAAAGCTCGTTCCACCCACTTTCCTGGCTCCTCCTGCTCGCCCTGAGCTGTTTCTCCTGCTGGGGGCAAGGTCAGCACCGCAGCTCTTCCTGGGAAGAGTCTACGGAGTTCCTGGTATGGGCTGGGGCGCCAGCTGGCATCTGGAAACTTGGATTCCCTGAACACGGCTGCAGCTCAGGGCAGGAGTGGGAGTCCGGGGTGCTCCCAGGGTGCCCCCACACCCACCCCACAGAAACTGAGACTGCCCGGGCCCCTGAAAGGCCCTGCCCTCTGTGAGGGGCCGGGTCAGCTCTGCAGCTGACGTGGGCGGCAGGGGGAGCCTGGACCGCCACTGTCTCCCTCCATCCACACGGTGGGGACGAGAAGTCCTGTCCCGTCTCTCCCTCTCGGGGCAGGCTGGTGGACAAACATCTTTACCCAGATGTGGGGACAAGCCCACGTTCTAGAGCAGATGACCTGGCTTTGAACCCTGGCTCCCACGAGCTGTGTGACGTTGAGCAAGCAACCTCACCTCTCTGGGCCTCGAGTTCCTCACAGTGAAGCTGCAGGATCAAAGACGTCACGTCCGTGTCGTGTGTTGGTTTTGCTCTTGCTGCTGTTGTTACTTTAGAAACCACCTGTGCTCCTGCGTAACCCTCAGTTAAGAGCGCAAGGCGATATCTCCCGGCCAGCGCCTGGACTCTAGTGGGGTCCACCGCCCTTTGTGTACATGATCTCACTGAATCCTCATCGCAACACCATCGTCCCAGTTTATGGATGAGAAGACTGAGGCTCCAGGAGGTGGAGTGACTTGTTGAAGATCCACATGTGCGGGGCCGTCTGACCCAGGGGTGGGGGAGAGGGCCTGAGGCCCCAGCACAGTGCCTGCTGGGACTTGTCCAGCCCTGGATACAGCCCCGTCCTGCCCGTGCTGCTCACTGCCGTGCTTAGCTCCCGGGGCCCCGTCCGCCGAGCAGACCCCTCTGGTGAAGCGTGGCCCCCAGGGCTGTCCCTCTGGGCCACAGCAGCAGCCGACCACTGACTTCTGGGAGGAAAGCTCTGTAGCTGGTAATGATCCATAAATGCCCATCCCTGGCCTCTTGGGAACTGGCTCCCCTCACGCCTTTGGCTTCGGTCCCCTCTCTGACTTGCTTTCCATTTCTGCAACGTCTTGAGTGTGCCCCAGCTGTTTGTGCTGTGAATTTAATTCTCAGAATGGCCTTGAGCTTCATAGAAGAGAGGCATAATAGGAATCTAATAAATGTATGGGTGGCCAGGCAAATAGATGTAATTGAGTTGTGCCGCTGAACCTCTTAGGAGGGGGTAACATCCTTAGAATACTGTTTGAGGGCCTGAGCTGGAAAGGGAGAAGGCTCAAGTTCAACACTTGACTTGAGCCGAGATTAGAGACAAGATGGGCTTCCCTGGTGGCTCAGAGAGTGAAGAATCCGCCTGCGATGCAGGAGACCTGGGTTCTATCCCTGGGTCTGAAAGATCCCCTGGAGAAGGGAATGGCAACCCACTCCAGTGTTCTTGCCGGGAGAATCCCATGGACGGAGAATCCCATGGACGGAGGAGCCTGGCGGGCTACGAGTCAGATATGGCCGAGAAACTCTCAGTTTCGCTCAGTTTAGAGACGGGATGGCATGCTGTCGAAGTACCAGGCCTGCATTCAAATCCTGGCCCGAGAGGGCCACGATGCTTTGACTCCCCGTTGGCGTGGGTCTATTTCACGCTCCTTGTCTTAACCGGCGGAGAGTGAGGGTGCGTGGCTGCCGAGCCGGGGCCTCCGGAGGCCTTGCCCCCGCGTGTCCTCTCTCTCGGCCTCTGTAACCTCCACCTGAGGCCAGCACGCGCTGGAGGCTGGGGCTGTGGAGAGCGGCCCGAGGAAGGCTGCCCTAGGCCGGAAGACAGCAGATGCAGGAGCAGGGCGGGTCTAGCTGACATCCAGCTCGGTCCTGGCCGGAGAGCCTCCCAGCCGGCCACGGCGGGGGCTTGTCGTTACGAGCCGCTGAGTTGGGGTTGGTTTGTGATGCAGTGACAGGTTACTGTTGTGGTCAAATCGCTTGCTCTCTCTGAGCCTCAGTTTCTGACTTTGTGAGATGGGAACAATCACCTTCTGTGTTCCAGAGGAATGCCCGGGGGCGGGAGGGGTATAAAATGCACGCAAAGTACTGAGCACAGTGCCTGGCGTGGCAAGGACCCTGGAATGAGCTCAACTGCACGGCCATAAAGAAACAACTTTCAGGGACTTACTTCCCTGGCGGTCCAGTGGTTAAGACTCTGCTCTTCCGAAGCAGGAGACACAGGTGCGATCCCTGGTCGGAGAACTAGTATCCCACCTGCTGTGCAGCGTGGCCAAAAAAAAAAAACCCAGGCAAAACAAGCAACCTCCAAACCCTAGCAACTGAAAACAACGGAGCTCGGCTTTTCGCTGCTCAGTGATGGCCTGTGGGCTGGGGCTTGGTGCGTCTTGGCCACGCAGAGACCTGGGCTGCTGACGTCCTCCTCCTGAGTGGTGCTGAGCCGGGCACGGCGCCGGGACTCGGAGTCTCACTCCGGTGATGGAGCGCTCAGCCGGGAAGTGATGCGTGGGGTGCTCACAGCTCACGGGCCCCACCCACCCAGGAGTCAGGAAGTGATCCTTCTTAGCAGGAGAGAGCCGGAAATATTGGCTGAACCAAGGTCGTCAGTGATAGCTATTGTTTCCTGCTCTTCAAGGCCAAGGAGTGGAAAAGTCAAAACAATAAGAGAAGCGATGCTAACAGCAGCTCTGTTGACTGAGAGCCAGCTGCGTGCGAGGCCATGTGAGAGGCCACTAACACGTGTAGTCAAGTCCTCATTCCCACGATGGAGCATGCAGCTCCAGGAGCTACACGGCCGGCCTGGTGCTCCAGGCTGGTGGCAGAGCCTGAGTCCAGACCCAGGACTCTAAAGCTCTCTGTCTTCCTAGCAGACTGTGTGACCCCTTTTCAAAGTCCCCAGAGGCTGACCAGGGGGCATTTGAAAGAATGCCCAGAGGTAAGGCTAGGGCAAGACCAGGCTTCCATAAACAGGCCGGCCAGCAAGGCTGTCCCTGGGCTCCTACCAGTCACCGTCAGAAACCCCAAAAGCAGTCTCTTTGTGCACTTTTATTCCTCTTGCCCCTTGCGGTTTTGCAACACACCGTCTCTCTGAGGAATTCCAGTGAGCCCCGCTCAGGATTTTCTTACCCCATCAGACTGGAGGCAGGCTCCTCCCCTTTGCAGAGCCGTTTGTAACAACTGTCATCAGTCACCACACGCGCGCTGTTCGCCATGGGTGTCAGCTGCTCATGAGCGCTTTCTTACGGAAACCTCTCTGCAGCCGTCTGTTGTCAGCTCCATTTTACACAAGTGGGAACAGAAGCTCAGAGAGGTTAAGTGTCCTGTCCGAGGTCACACAGCGGGTGAGGAAATGCAGCCAGGCAGCCTGGCCCCACGGCCTCATTCTTTTCTGTTTTTGTGACCGTGCTGCAGTGCATGGGGCTTCTCCAGCTGGGTGCGAGGGCTCTAGAGCTTTGGGCTCAGTAGTTATGGCATCCTGGCTTAGTGCTCCAAGGCACGTGGGATCTCAGTTCCCCCACATCTCCTGCATTGGAAGGCAGACCCCAGGGAAGCCCCCCGACATCCTCACTTTCAACCACTAAGCTGTAAACGGCTCTCACATCCCTGAACTCTCAGTCACTGGTCAGCAGGGGAAGCCCCTCGGCCGGAGTCTGGGGCGCGCTGGTCCTGAGGACTCGCTCCTGTGGCCAGCAGGGGGCACCCAGCAGCCTTTGGTGTCCCCAGGTTAGCAGAGGGCAGCAAAGGGTGCCTCTCTGGGCCCCGTCTGCCTCCACTGCCCAGCGAAGAGCCCTCCAGGGGACCCCAGCTGTGTCCCCGCCCCTCCCTACAGATTCTTAATAGGCTGTCACTGGTTTTCCTTGCTTCTCACCAGCTGCGCCAGCTCCACGAAGCCCTGGGGCCGCACACCCTAGGCAGGGGCCCAGCACTGCTTTGTAGCCTGGCGGATCGTGGGCTCGGACACACCACACCCCTGGTCTGGACTTTGGGCTTCCCCAGCGGCGAGACCGAGGGGCCGGGTTCCGTCACCCTCTGGTTTCTGCGACTCCAAGGAGCACCTGGATTTCTCAGATGAAGGCCTCCCTCCCAAGACCCCTGCAAGCTCCTTGGGGACAGATTGTGCCATCTTGACTCAGGGCAAGGCACTACCCCGGGCTTCAGTCTTCTCATCTGGAAAATGGGGATGTCGACGACGCCTGCCTCAGGCAGTCATTGGGAGGTGGACAGGTTTACAGAAGCCCCTGGCACCTTAGTAGGTGGTCACTGACAGCTTCCTGCCCTCTTGCATTCCTGCAAGAAGAGCCCAAGGAGGCGGCTTCATGAGTCACGAGTCCCCTCAGGTCTCCCGGGGGCTTGGGGACAGTGCGGATGGTTGAGTGTCGGCTGTCACAGCAGCTGGACACAGAGTTCCAGGACCAGGCCTGCTGGGACTGCCTTCCAGTGGCTCCAAGAGGGATGTGAGTGAGGTTGCTGAGAATACCTCTTGTCTTTACAAAATGGAGAGAAGGAAATGACAACCTGCTCCAGTACCCTTGCCTGGAAAATCCCATGGACGGAGGAGCCTGGTGGGCTACAGTCCATGGGGCCGCAAAGAGTCAGACACGACTAAGCAACTTCACTTTTCACTTTTTTACACAATGACTCACCCTCCCAGGCCTGTGCCCAAGGCCCCGTGTGGGCGTCATCTTGGATTGCAGGTGGGCATCAGGCCTAAGGCCCACAGGAGACCCTGAGGTCCAGGGAAAAGACTGGGGACCTCTGCTAGGAGCAGTAACAGCCAGCCTTCCTGGGAATGGGCACCTGGGAATACACTGAGAAGCCCATCCTCCAGGTGGGAAGGGCATCGCCATTCGTGGGGGGCGAGGAAGCCCTCCCTGCCTTCACGGCTCTGCCAGACGGGAGCCCCAAGTCACTGGGGCTCCTGGAAATTCCTGCCTGCCCTCCCCGCCCCACCCCCACCCCCACGCTGCCCACCCCCGGTGCCTGGGCCTTGCTCGTCCCCTGTCTCTCCTTCCCGCCCCCTCAACCTCTCCACTTCCCCAGGCAGGGCCGGGGCAGCCCCGAGGGTCTTGGCTTTTCTTCATGGGCGGCTGACGTTTGCTCGCAGAGTGGAGAGAAGTGTCACGGGACTCCAGCTGAGAACCGCTCTTGGCAACAGAGCTCACTCATCTTTTCTCACCGTTCCTTCCTCCCAGCTTTGGGCTGTGATCCTGAGGCCTGTGTGGAGGTCTTTGAAGACTCAGCATCAGTTCTTTCTCCTTGGCTGCCCCAGCTCTCAGCTGCAGCAGGCGGGGTCTGGTTCCCTGACCAGGGACTGCTCCCGGCTCTCAACGCTGGGAGCCCAGACTTGTAGCCACTGGACCACCAGGGAAGTCTTGCGGCATCAGCTTTTGAAAACACAGCCTGTGGCAGCCATCCAGACACAGGGGCTTCAGAGACGGGGAAGAGGGAGGCTTTGGGGCGTGGAGTTGCCGGGAGGCACCACTTCTCAGGGACTCGGCCGGTAACCTTCCCGGGACTCGGGGGAACGCTGCCTTGGGTGCAGCCGGGTGAGCTGAGGTCACAGGCTTGTGGGCTGAGTGCTGTGGGCACTGCGGGCACCAAGTAGGCTGTGATGGCAGCCCTGGGGGCACCTGGCGGTTCAGGCCTGCCGTGCCTCCCTTGCCTCACCCGTCCTCTGTACCTGGGCACCCCTTCAGTTCCCCTGCGTGGGACGTCTTACCGTTCCTGTCTCCTGCAGTAGAGAGGGGCTGGATCCTCCTTTCTGGGCCCAGACAGTTGAAGAGATGGCCCCAAACAGCAGTACCACCAGCTTTCTGACCTGGCAGACGGCCGCCACCTGGATGCCACTGTCCAGACCGCAGCCTGGGGTGGACCCCTGATGGGCTGGCATTTGCCAAGTCAGGCCCAGACTGAACAAAACAGAGGCTTCAATCCCAACTCTGCCTCTTCCTCTCTGTGTGATCTCAGGCAAGACTCAGGTCTTTCTCAAGCTCAATGTTCTCATCTGCAAAATGGAAAGCAACACTAACAGACCTAGAATAAGTCGTGGGGGTGAATCCTGGTGGCACAGTGATGGTGGGGGCAGGCGTTTACAAACGCCAGTTAAGTTCTGGCCCCTGCAGTGCTGCCTTCAGGTAGCGTTACCCCACTTGTGTCCCACCTGGGGCCCCCCGCCTTCGTGTCAGCTCAGGACAGTCAGTGTCGATGGGGCAGCTGGGAGCCTGAACTCCAAGAGGGAGAAGTTTCATCTATTACATGCATCTCTAATGAGCTGACCTTAGATTTTCAGTGAGTCTGTTTGACCGGCAGATAAGAATCATCTGGGGCTTCCCAGGTGGCAGTAGTGATAAAAATCCACCTTTCAATGCAGGAAATGTAAGAAATGCGGGTTCGATCCCTGGGTTGGAAAGATCCCCTGGAGAAGAGAATGGCTACTCACTCCAGTGTTCTTGCCTGGAGAATCCCATGGACAGAGGAGCCTGGGGGGCTACAGTCCATGGGGTCACGAAGAGTCAGACACGACTGAGCGACTAACACAGACACACATTTAAGCATACTCTTTTTCATATTCTTTAACAGGTTATTACAAAATGCTGAGTATAGTGCCCTTTGCTATATAGTAGGTCCTTTTTGTTCAAACTCTTTGCATACAGTAGTGTGTATATGTTAACCTCAGATCCCCAGTTTATCCCTCCCTTCTTCCCCCTTCCGTAACTCTGAGCTTGTTTCCTGTTTCTGTGAGTCTACTTCTTTGTAAGTTCGTGTGTATCTTTCTTTATTTTAGGTTCATGATATAAGTGACATCATACGGTATTTGTCTTTTCCAGTCTGGCTTACTTCAGTGAGTACGATAATCTCCAGGTCACTTTCTCAGATTTCTTACATTTATTTTTCATTCACTCAATGTTATTTAAAGCCCTGGGATGCGCCAGGCTATAGGCTGGCAGCTGAGGGTACCGGTAAACCAGATAGGTGGGCTCCTATGTTCATGGAGTTTCTAGTAGAGTGGAGAACACAGATAAAATCTGAGCAAACACAAATACATTACATATTAGTGGCTACAAATTGCATAAGTGCCTTGGACGGAACAACCTCCTTTGCTTATTAAAGCTTAAATAATCCGAAGGTAAGTCTCAGCCTAGCCCATGGAAGGTTTTCCTGGGGTATTACAATACAAATGGTGATAAGCACAGCAGGGTCCATAGATATCAGTGGCTTGTTAAGTATGTCGGTGAATGCTTTACATAAATGAGCTCATTCACCCCTTACAACAGCCCCCGGGTTGAGTGTCATTATCCCCACTTCACAGGTGTTAGTCTTGTTGGTAAGCCTGCGCAGGGAGCTTTAACTCTGTGTGGCCGGAGGGCTGGGAGAGCAACAGGTGAGAACTGACTCTGTCCCCTCCCTCGAGGATGAGCTGGGAGAGGGGACCGCAGGGCAGTGAGACCTGGGGTGGGGGTTGCTGACGTCCAGGCTCGGTCCGGAGACTTGTCTCTCTCTGGTTCTTGACCCTACTATGTGGCTTGTGGGATCTTAGTTCCCCAACCAGGGACCGAACACATACTGCCTGCATTGCAAGTGCAGTTTTTTAAATTTAATTTTTTTAACTTTAATTTGAACTGCACTGGTCTTCGCTGCTGGGCGCGGGCTCCTCTAGCTGTGGGCAGAGGCTGCTCTCCAGTTGCAGAGCACAGGCTTCTCACTGCAGTGGCGTCTCGTTGCAGAGCTCGGGGATCTAGGGCCCAAGGGCTCCGCAGTTGTGGCCCATGGGCTTAGCTGTTCTGTGGCATGTGGGGTCTTTCTAGACCAGGGCTCAAACCTAGTCCCCGGCATTACCAGGCGGATTCCTAACCATCGGACCACTAGGGAACCCCAGAAGTGCAGTCTTTTAACCCCTGAGTCAGCAGGGAAGTCCCAGAGGATTGTCTCTCAACAAATGGGAGCAAATGACATCCGTTTCCGAGATGCACCATCCCTCCTCCTGGGAAAGCACTGCTGGCCTCAAATCTATTCACAAAACCTGGGTGGAGATGATGGGGTCGGGAGAGGGAGCCGCGACGTGGCATCCATGCAGACCCTGATGGCCAGCCTGTCTCACGGCCTTGACCTTTCACCCTTTCAAGGCTGCGGGCAGGTGGTTTAGGAGGATGGGGAGCCAGCATGGAGGAACCCGGGCTCAGAACCTGGACTCCCCGCTTCTAGTCCACTCTGCCCCCCACAGCACCAGTCCTGTTCTCCTCATGGATGAGAGCCAGGGCCATGGAAATGAAAAACCTAGACTGAAATCCCAGCACTCCCCCTTTCTAGTTGTGTGACTTTCAGCAAGTTGCTTCACTTTTCTGAGCCTCAGTTTCCTTGTCTTTAAACGGGCATAATAAGATCTGCCTCTCAAGCTGTTTGAGAGATTAAATAAGATGATTTCACCCAGCTCCTGGTTGGCTATGTAGTCTTAGACAAGGAGCCTAAGATTGAATCCCGTTCCTCTGGGAACATGGGGTGTTTGCATCTCCCCAACTCTCCCCAGCGCAAAGGGTCTGCAGAGCAGAGCATGATCCATGAATGTTCTCTCTCTGATTTTGTTTTAACTCGTGAGGGCTTCTCAGGCAGCGCTAGTGGTAAAGAGTGCACCTGCCAATGCAGGAGACGTAAGAGACGTGGGTTCAATCCCTGGTTTGGGAAGATCCCCTGGAGCAGGAAATGGCAAGCCACTCCAGGATTCTTGCCTGGAGAATCCCATGGAGAGAGGAGCCTGGCGGGCTACAGTCCATGGGGTTGCAAAGAGTCGGACACGACTGAGACGACTTAGCATGCACACGAGTGCTTATCCGTGTAGGAGATAAGAGACTATTGTGTCTTCAAAGTGGTTGCCGATCAAGAGGCTCTTCAGGGAACTCGGCTGTTGGAAATGACCCAGAACCTGCGACGTCACTTTGGACTCACTCAGAGGCATATTCATCCTCTGAGGGTGGGTCTGATGTTTGGAATTAGCAAGGAATCTTTTGGACCCAAGATTGCTGACTTTGGGTGGAGATTTGAACTGGGAAATGCTGACAAGGGAAAACTAGAATTAAAATGCAGGGGGTGGGGAGAGGGTGGAGGGTGGAGAAAGAATTTCTATCAGGGAGGGCTACGGATCTAATTTAAGCAGTTTTAAAATAAATGTGTGGAGGATGGTTTTATGATGGGTCAGGAAGAGATGCTTGGGGGCATGGAGGCCTTTTTGGGGGCTGACCTTGAGCAGATGATGACGCCCCCCAGAAATAATATTTGATAAGATCCTTTTGATATTTGACTGATATTTGACTAAGATCCTTTCACTTGCAGGTACAAAGCCCTGTGAGAGTAGGCTTAAGCAAAAAACGAACATATATTCTGAGAATTCGGGGTGTCTTAGAAACCCAGAGAGCCTGGCCTTGTGGGAGCTGACACCAGGAACTAGACAGGGGCTGGGAGCCCAGGCAGCATCGCATGTCTCTACCCTTACGGCCTCTGTTTTGAGACCATGGTGAAATACGTGTAACATGGGGCTTCCCAGGAGGCTCAGTGGTGAAGAATTCACCTGTTGATGCAGGAGCCATAGAAGACGGGGATTCAGTCCCTGGGTTGGGAAGATCCCCTGGAGAAGAAAACGGCAACCTGCTCCAGTGTTCTTCCTGGGATAATCCCATGGACAGAGGAGCCTGTGGAGCCCACAGGGTCATAAAGTGTCAGACACAACTGAGCACCTGATCGTGCACGTGGGCATGGGTGACGCCAGACCTGTCTTTGTAACCGTTTCGAGGTGTGCAATCTAATGGCTTCAGGTGCGTTTATAGCGTTGTGTGGCCGTTGCCACCATCCACCCCCAGAATGACTTTTATCACCCCGATGGGAGCTTGCACCCACCCTCCAGTGACCACCATTCCACCTTCTGTGAGTCTGCCTATTGCCGGTCCTTCATAGGAGTGGCCCCATAATAATGTGACCCTTTGTGTCTGGCTTATTTCACTTAGCACAGCATATTTGAAGTTCACCTACTTTGCAGCATGTGGCAGAATTTCTTTCCTTTTTTTTTTAAAATTTATTTTTTTAATTAAAAAATTTTTTTTTTTAATTTATTTCCTTTTTAAGGCTGAATAATACACCGTTCTATGGATGGACCACATTTTGTTTATTCATCCATCCATCTGTGGACATCTGGTGGTCTCAGCTTTTTGGCTGTTGAGAATAACACCCAGAGCATTGTCTCGTCTCTGCTTCCCTCCTTGCATCTGGGACTGGGTTTCTCAGCGTCACTGGGCGCGTGGCAGAGGGTGGCCGCCCTGCAGCATGTGAGCTGAAAGTGTTCAGTTCCGGCCTCCAGTAGAAACCCGGTTCCAAATTTCCGAGGCGGAGACTGTGACTGTTGGATGTGCGTGCCATGGGGTTATGTGGTGACAATGTGGGATCCCCCTTGGGATGGGGAATGGTTTTGAGAGAGGAAATGGGCGTTGTTGGGGCTGGGCAGCTACCCCTTCAATGAGAGACTGAGCCGGGACACCCGCAGACGGGAATGCCTCCACTTTGATGGTCCTGTCTGGGACGTGAGAGGCAGAAGCCTCAGAAAGATGCTGCGCACGCGTCCTCCGTGTCAGCTGGCTGGTCGGCGGGGCGGTCTCTGTAAGTCGCCCTGGACGTCAGTTAGGCTGCTTCCTTGACCTGGCCTGGGGACCTGCTTGCCTTGGAGGCCAGTTGGCTGCAGGTGTGGGAGGCAGGAGTCTCACCCAGCTCCCCTGGGGCCGGCCGTCACTGATCCAGCCCTGACTCCACTTCAACATCCTCACTCATCCTTCGGCCCCTCAGTAGAGTGACTTGTGCCTTTTCCAACTTCTGCTTTGTGAGTAGGAGCCACTGACTAATTGACGTGGGGCACATCTCTTGAAGGGTGGCTCAGAAGTAAAGAATCTGCCTGCAACGCAGAAGATGCAGGAGGCCTGGGTTCGACCCCTGGGTCGGGAAGATCCCCTGGAGGAGGGCATGGCAACCCGCTCCACTATTCTTGCCTGGAGAGCCCCATGGACAGAGGAGCCTGGTGGGCTACCACCCATGGGGTCACAAAGAGTTGGACACGACTGAAGTGACTGAGCATGCATTCACGCACATTTCTTCATATTATGAAACCTGAGTTTTCCTAGTGATACAGTGGCTAATAACACCTGTCTGTTTTCTTTAGATGTTGGTGCAGGTGTCACATGAAACTGATGACCGCAGAGCAGGGGTGCTCCCCCGGGGCAATTGGCCCCCCTGAGGGCATCTGGTAACATCTGGAGATACTTCTGGTTGACACACCTGGGGGGCGTGGGTACCACCGGCATCAGAGGAGATGCTAAACATTCCGCAGAGCACAGCACGGCCCCCACAACAAAGAGCTGGCTGGACCAGCACGTTGGCCTCACCAGGCTGAGAAACGCTGCTCTAGAGCCGCGAAGACTCATTCATGCAGCAAGCCTTTTTAAACACTGACCTCACTTATCTGTTTGGCTGCGCTGGGTCTCAGTCGTGGTGTGCACACTCTTGGGCTTCCCTGGTTGCTCGGACGGTAAAGAATCCACCGCAGTGCGGGAGACCTGGGTTCGATCCCTGGGTCGGGAAGGGCCCCTGGAGAGGGCAATCCCATGGAAAGAGGAGCCTGGTGGGCTACAGCTCATGGGGTTGCACAGAATCAGACAGACTGAGTGGCTGACGCTTTCACTTTCGTTCTCACCGTCTTCGTTGCAGCCTGTGGGATCCTGACTAGGCATGGAACCCGGGCCCCCTCATTGGGAGCACAGTCTTAGCCACTGGACTCCCAGGCAGGTCCCTGCAAGCCTTTCTGAGCATCTCTCGGTGCTGGGCTCTGACTGGGGGAGGAGGGAGGTTGGTGGGGGTGTAAGAACGGGAAGGATCCCGGCCCTCCCTACCGTGGGGAAGGGCAGAGGGTCTGGCGGGTAGCGGGCACTCAGATTCTGATTTTAGCCTTAGTTGGTGGAAAGCTTGGCATGGGGCTGTTTAGAGCCTGCACAGATGGTGCAGACTTGGGGTAAAGGGCTCGGTGGGGGCGGGGGTCTCTGGAACACTGGATCAGGGAATAAATCAGCTGCTGTGGGTGAGCACAGCCCATGTGGGTAAACAGGTGCTTCTGAATGCCGCCCTGCAGCCTCACCTAGCAGAGCGTTGCTTAGGCAACTGGTTATCGTGTGGATGGCAGAAAGCAAACCTCCCTGAGCTTCTTGAGGGACCAACAGTTTGGGGAAAAGAAGTGGAGGTGAGTTCACGGAGTTTTCTTCTGGACTCATGGCTTCTCCTCAACTAATATTCAGCCCCTCCTCGGCCACTGGGCCTTGGAGATGGGCTGGGCGAGGAGGGGCCAGAGAAGCAGGGAGGAAGTTCCGGAAGATGGGAGTGTTGGGGGTGGTGGCTCGGGCTTTCCGACAAAAACACCCAGAGCAGCCCTGGCCTTTCCCATCCTCTCTCCATGACCCTTGGTGCCACCGCTTCTGGGGGACGAGGCCGCCCTGCTGGTGGGTGGGGCTCCGGGGGTGAGGGCACAGCCGTCTGGTGGGGCAGCCTCTCCTGGGCCAGCGCTGAGGGATGTGCTGGAATGGAGGCAAGGGGCGTGTAGGAGACGGTGCCTCTTGTCTCAAGACCCCAGATCCAGGATCAGGCCCTCCCAGCCCCGGCCAGGCCCGCTGGCAGGGAGAGCCTCCTCTTCTGCGCGTCTGCGGTGGAGGGGCCTTGCCTTTTGCTCGCACTGTAAGTCCAATGATAATAAGGAAGCTCTAGCCATGGAGGCTTCCTGCTGCCCCCAACACTGTTCTGGGGGCTTTCATTCTGTGTTGGTCCCCTTCCCGCCTTACAGCTGGTTCCTGCTAGACCAGGAGTCGAACCCAGACTGACTCTGGTCCAGAGGCTGGCAGCCTCCCAGGTGGGAGCCCAGTGAACCACCTGCTCGCTCTCTCCCACGGGGCAGGATTTTTTATCCATCTTGGGTTTGCTGAGCCTTTTGTGCCCCAAGCCTCTGTGCTCACCGGAGCCTTTTGCTTCCGTCTGCCCATGATTCAAGATGCTCATCTAGGGACTTGCCTAGTGGTCTAGTGGCTAGGGCTCCATGCTCCCAATGCAGGGGGCCCCAAGTTTGATCCCCAGTCAGGGAACTATGTCCCACATGCTGCAGCTAGGACGTGGAACAGCCAAATAAATAAATAAGTAAATAAAATAAACATCCATCTACTGTGCTCCTCACATGACCTTGGACAAGTGACTTATCTCTCATCAGCGTGTTTCCGTCTCTGTAAGAGGGGAGACACTTTTGCAAGGCTCACAGGAAATTATTCATGGAGCGGATAAAACATTTAAGAGCCAAAACCCAGGGTTTATGTTATCATCCTCTTCACCATCTGAGGCAGGAATCAGCAAACTCTCTCTGCAAGGCCAGAGAGCAGCTGCTTTCGGCTTTGCGGACCCTGCTGTCTGTCACCGCTCCCCGCTTTGCCTTTGTCTCTCCAGAGCGTGCCCAGTGTTCTGATACGCCAAAGCGCATGCCCACCTCTTAATGGAGCTGTATTTACAAAAACAGGCGGAGGGCCGGATTTGGCCCAAGGTAGTTTGCTGACCTCTGATCTAAGAGCCTGGAGCCTTGATTCTCAATGTCCTGCTGCAGAAGGTGGAGAAAGGCCCAGGTCAGGTTTGCAGTGAAGGGCAAGCCGTCCATGAACATGTTACGGGCAGGGGCTGATCTCCCTTGAGACCCCCTTCCTGGACTCTCAGGAACACACAGTTGGGGCAGAGTGCTCGTGGTTAGGGGACCTTTCCCTCGATGACCAGATAATCATGCTGTTCACCAGCTCAGCAGATGTCTGACTAAAGTCTGGGAAGTGACTCACGTGGACAGTGAGAACGCAGCCGGGGCAGCCCGAGCGTGCCATCCTGCTTTCCGGGGAACCGGTCGCCATGCAGTCTATCACCTTGCAGCTGGAACTCTAGAGCCTCCATTCCTTCAGAGGTTCATTTAATTCTCATGAACATGCTGTCGTATCGGGACTAGTACAACTGTTCCCGTTGACCAAGGGGCAGCCAGGCTTGAGAGACAAGGGCACACGGCGGGAGCGGGCAGGGAGTCAAACCCGAAAGGCTTCGACCTGAAAGTCGTGTTCCCGCACACGCCTGTAGCCCGTGCCCCTTTCCGGGCATGCACGCAACTGCCAGGGCCCGGCCCTTCTGCCCAGAGCCCCCTTCAGAGGTGGCCCCCGCCGTGGTCACGCCCCGCCTCCCTTCTCCTGGCAGCTTCCTGGTCCTCCCAGCCCTGCCCTGCCTGGCCTGACTCAGTCTAGCCCTTCCCTGTGGGCTGCCAGGGCCGCCTCCCGCCCGCCCTCCTGCCTGCCCGGCAGGTCTGGCAGGTGAGTGAGTCACGCACCTGGGCCCACTGCACGCCCCGCGCGGGGAGCCAGCGGACGTGACCCCAGGGTGCCTGCCGGCCCAGCCAGCCTCTGCGACGGACGAGACCCTTCCCTGCCGCCGGGCCTGCCCCGTCACCCGCGCTCCCTTCTTCCTCGGTCGGAACTGGACTGCACAGAATCCAGGTCAGGCTTTCGGCTGTAAGCATCTCGGTCCCTCGCTGAGTCGGAGGAGGACGCTCTGGAGGTCACTGGGTGTGTTTCGGTCTCTGCTGCTGTTGACACCCCTAGGCTCCGGGCTCAGGGACACCCTGCTCCCTGGCAGGTGGCAGTGGGGCTGGGGATGCCGGTGCTGGACTCAGGGAGGAGGACTCTGCTGAGGGCCTCAGTGGACGTGACCCTGACCCTCATGGTCAGGTTGGGGGGGGATGCCTGGCCCGCGTGTGTGTGCAGTGGGAACCTTCCCCATCTCCCTTCTTGGGGTCGGAGTGAACCTTGCAGCTGGATCCGACCTAGTTCAAAGGCATCGACTGCCTGCTGGGAAGACTGGGGTCGGAGGGGAGGCAGTGACTCCAGGTCACACCGCGGGGCGGGGGCGGTGTAGGGGCCGGACGCCCGAACGGCCAGGGCCGCCCCCGCCCCGGGCAGCACCTGCTCCTCTGTCTGCGCCCCGGGCCCTGCCACGTCCCATCCTGGCCGCCTTTGCAGGGAGCGAGGCACCACGCAGTTTCAGGGGGTGAGTTCATGAGCTCACAGTTGGAAGCCTTTTAAAGGTCACCCGGGCGGCCTGGCCCCGAGCCTCCGACAGGTGGCTGTTCAGCCCCCGCTCAATGATCTCCGGTGGTGGGGAGCTCACCGCCTTTGAAGGCGGCCTTTCATCTGCGTGGCCGCTGTCCGCCGAGGGCTGGCATCACGCTTGCTGGGCGCTTCCTCTGTGCCAGATGCTCATTTAATCTTCCCAACACCCCATGAGGTAAGTCTTATTATTATCATCCCTGTTTATAGCTGAGGAAACAGGCACAGAGAGGTTCAGTGACTTACTCAAGGTTTCCCAGCTTGAACAAGCTGAGATTTGAAGCCAGACAAGCCTCGCTCTAGAGCCCAGCTGACGCCTCAGCTGCATCACTTGGCCGCTGCTGGGCGGTGAGGAGGCTTCCCAGGGCGGGCGTCCTGCTGAGCTGAGATTTGGCCTGGGGGCTTCAGACGACTGTGGTCTCTCTGGCTGACCTCTCAGGGGAGGGGCAAGGCTCAGACCAGTGAGGTGACCTACTTGAAGGCTTGGAGATGGCGGAGAATCAGACCCTCCCCCCGACTTCAGCAGAGTGTACGCCTCCCCAAGCCAGCCCCTCCGCCAGGGGGCTTTTCCTCCAGAAGATCCTGGTCTGTCCAGGTGCTCAGGGGTGTCTGAGCCTGCCTCCCTGGCTTGTGGCCCTGAACCACCCTCTCTTCCATCCCACTGAGCTCTGGGCTCCCCGGGATCGACCCCTCCCAGAGGGGTCTCCTCAGTCACTGGGACTTCAGGGGCTTCGGGGGTGATCAGCCCGGCCCCACTCGCGTCCCCACCACCTAGAAGGTGAGGAGGGTCCCCGGCGTCTCCTTTCAGGGCTGGGACAGTCACACGGGTAAGAGGGCCCCAGGGTAACTCCTTTCTGTCCTCTCCGCCTGGTCATAATAATAATGGTAACAGCAGCCCTGCCACCGCAGCGCCATCTCCATCTATCCAACACTTACATATGCTAAGCTCTGGGTCAGGTAGCCCGCATGCCATGGCTTGTTCAGGTCTGAAGACCCCCATTTGACAGATGAGGAAGCTGAGGCGCAGGGGAAGTCACTTGCCCAGGGTGGCACAGCTGACCAACGGCACAGAGATCAACAGCAGAAGGTGGGAGGCTCTCATCGTCCAAAGTTGCGTGCTGAGTTCACAGGGTAGCCAGGGCCAGGGTCTGGCGTGGTCGACTTCAGATTTCAAGCTTCTCCCGCGCGGCTCCTCTGGGCTGTGCTGTGCTGTGGAGGAGCCCGAGAGCCGCAGGTTCCAGTCGTGTTCCGCTTCTGAATAGTCCAGGACCTGGGGCGAGCTACCCAGCCTCCCGGGGCCCGGTCACCCCTACCAGGGACAGGAGCTGGTCACTTGTCTCCGGCGGATTGCAGTCACGGCTGAGAGAGCCTTAGGAGCCTGGACGCAGGGTGTGCCTTCGTGGCCCAGTGGTTAGGATTCGGGGCTTTTCCTGCCCGGCCCCGGTTCAGATCCTGCTCAGGGAACTGAGGTCCCTCAAGCTGCAGGGCACCGTCACAAACAAACAAAGCGGAACGAAAAAGCAAATCTTGGCCCAATGCATATGCAGAGAGTGAGTGTGAGCAGAGGTGATTACCCAGGCCGCCTCTCCGGCCCCACCGTGCCTGGGGCAGCCTCGACCCTGAGTTCCCACAGCCCCCTCGGGGCGCAGAACACAAGCCGGCTCTACGGCAGGGGAGCCGAGACTCAGGGACGCGAAGTCACAGGACTAGCAGGTGGGGAAGCAGGGCTCTGTCCCCAGAGGCGAACTCCCTGTCATGACGAGAGGCAGGTCCTGGGGGAGGGGGAATCTCACAGGGTGCCCAGGCCGGCCCTTTGGTCTCAGGTGATCAGACTCGAAGGAGTGGGTCCCAGGCGCTTAGGGGGTGGGCCCGGGTGGGCACGCGGGCAGGGGGAGTGAGATGGATCCCTACTCAGACCTCTCCCGTTGGCCCTTCGGCAGAATGAGGGGGACCGTCCTCCCCCATCCTTCCTGCTCTCAGGGACAGAGGCGGCCCTTGCTTCAAGGGGACAGGAAAGCAGGAAGCTCTCCTGAGCCGTACAGACCTGCCCTGCAGGGAGACCCGGTCCCGCCTCCTGGCCCAGCTCAGAGCCTGCAGAGCCTGGAGGGGGCCGGGGGGTTGGGCTGCCTTCAGCCCACTTCCTTCCTCCCCACCTTTCCCTGTCCTCTGGCTCTCTTCCTGAGCAGCATCGTCACTACATCTGATAAGCAGCCCTCCGTTCTATCCAATAAGAGGGGTTCCAAGGCCCTGGCTTGTTTGAGACCGCCAGGGCGGGGGAGCGCACCCAGGCTGGGAGCCAGGAGGCGGCCGCTGCACCCACGCCACCCGTCAGGCCCCGAGCTCTCTTGAGCAAAGCCTTTGCTTCTCCGGGCCTCGGTTTCCCCTTCGGTGAAAGGAGGGGTTTGGCTTGGAACATCCCACAGGGCCCTGCCAGCTCGGAAAGGCTCTGACTTGTCTGAATCGGAGCTCCGAGGGGCCGTCCAAGCTTCCTGCCAGCTCTCCCCTGGCCCCGCGTGGTCCAGGGAGCACATGGACATGGGGACTGTTCGCTTCTGATACAAGGAGGACTTGAATGCGTGTGTGTGTGCTGAGTCGCTTCAGTCTGTGTCTGCCTCTTTGCGACCCCATGGACTGCAGCCCGCCAGGCTCCTCTGTGCATGGAATTCTCCAGGCAAGAATCCTCCTCCAGGGGCTCTTCCCCGGCCAGGTACCGAACCTGCCTTTCTTATGCCTCTTGCATTGGCAGATGGGTTCTTTACCACTAGCTCCACCTGGGAAGCCCACCGAGGACCGGAGTGCACTCTGTTGAAACCCTCTCTCATTCCATCCAGCTGAATTTTTCCAATAAACCCAGGGTACCAATGTGTGTCTGACCACAGGGGAGAGGCTGCCTGAGGCTCTTCCCATCTTGTTGTTTGTAGAAGAAGTCTGCCCTTTGGGGTAAGAAACTGAGTTCAAATCCTAGCTCTGTGCCTCCTGATGGTGTGACCTTGGGCGAGCTCACGGTCTCAGTTATTGCATCTGAAGAGGAAGATGGTGACACTGAACTCACTGGGGCCTCGCGAGGGCTGTGAGTTCTCCCAGGCGGAGCACTTGACCCAGCGAAGAGCAGATGCTCAATAAAAGGGAGGACCTGTTCCTGGCACCACAGCAATCTGGCCCCTCATGGCTCCAGGATGACAGGACGCCTCAGGGTGCTGTCCGGGATCTCAAGGCCGCATTCCCTGCAGACGAGCAGGTGTCTCCTGGTGTGACAGCGTGATAAGGCCCTAGTTCTGGTCTTCCTCGCCCTCTTTTTTTATATTTGTTATTGGGGTAGAATTGCTTTGCTGCCTTTTCACAATGTTGATGCTGTTCTCATGGCAAGAATATTGGAGTGATTTGCCATTTCCACCTCCAGTAGACCACATTTTGTCAGAACTCTTTACTGTGACCAGTCCGTCCATGCATGGCATGGCTTATAGCTTCACTGAGTTATGCAAGCCCCTTCACCACGACAAAGCTGTGATCCATGAAGGGGTCATGAAATGTAAGCAAAGCTATGACAAACCTTGAGAGTGTATTAAAAAGCAGAGACCAACTTTGCCAACGAAGGTCTGTATAGTGAAAGCTACGTTTTTTTTCCAGTAGTCACATACGGATGTGAGAGTTGGATCATAAAGAAGGCTGAGCACCAAAAAATTGATGCTTTTGAACTGTGGTGTTGGAGAAGACTCTTGAGAGTCCCTTGTGACTGCAGGGAGATCCAACCAGTCCATCATGAAGGAAATCAACCCTGAGTATTCACTGGGACTGATGCTGAAGCTGACACTCCAATACTTTGGCCACTTGATGCAAAGAGCTAACTTATTGGAAAAGACCCTGATGCTGTGAAAGATTGAAGGCGGTAGGAGAAGGGGATGACAGAGGATGAGATGGTCGGACGGCATCACCGACTTGATAGACATGAGGTTGAGCAAACTCCAGGAAATAGTGGAGGACAGTGAAGCCTGGCGCGCTGCATCCACGGAGCGGCAGAGTCTGACGACCGCATAATTGTTTACGATGTTGTGCTACTTTCCGCTGCACTTAAAGTGAACCAGCCGCATGCGTGCGTACATCCCCTGCCGCCCACCCTCCCGCTCTAGGTCATCGCAGAGCGCCAAGCTGAGCTCCCCGCACTTACAGCAGCTCCCGTCCAGCTGGCCAACGCCACTTTCCAGTTCATCCCCCGCTCCCTTTCCCCATCGTGTTCCTCCTCCTCTTTCTTAAAGCTCTGGAAACTACAAAGCTGTGTAATAGCGGGGAGGGGGCAGCCTGCTGCACATCGACCTCACCCCCACAGGTGGCTAGCTGACCCACAAGACTGATCAGAATTCATAAGGTATGCGGATCTGTGGGTTGCGGTGAGATCTCAATTAACTAGAGAGCAAGCCACCTACAGCTCAAGGCTCCTGGAGGGGGCTCCCAAATCCTGAAGACAGCACCAGGGCAGGGGTTGGGGCTGCCCTCGCTCAGAGCCCAGGATTTGGCCCAGCACTGTTCCTCAGCCCAGCCCTGGAGCCACTGGGCAGGCAGCTCACTGCAGAGTGTATAGTGCATGGCGGCCCCTGATTCAGAGACACGGGTTTGGGGACGGAGCAGATGAAATTTCCTGGCCGTTGGTGGCTTCTGGGAAAGGGGTAATGTGCCTGTTCAGTTCAGATAGTCGCTCAGTCCTGTCCGACTCTTTGCAACCCCATGGACTGTAGCACACCAGGCTTCCCTGGCTGTTATCTCAAAACTCATTACCAAAAAGACATTTTTTTCCCTTTCTCCTAAAGATCAGCATATTCTCTGCTTTTCCTGGAATTCTGGCTAGGGGATTTTCCAGTTAGCAGAAAAACCATATCCAGCTTCCTCCTGCTTCACTGAGGGGGTGAGCGGCTGGAAGTGGAGGAGTTATTGTCTGCTAGTTCTTTTCCTCTAGGTCATCAACTGCATCCATCCCTCCATCATCCATCCATCCATCCATCCATCCAAAGACTGCTTACTGAGTGTCTCTCTGTGCCAGACACTGCATTCTGGAGATACAACTCTGCAAAACGGACATCCTACCCTTAGGGAGATAATGGTATGGCAGGGGTGACAGATAGTTTAGAGAATTCAGTACCTGGGGTGCTATGGCCTTATCTGTCCATCAGTTTCCCTATCTGCTGCATGGGATGATCGTAGTCCCTACCTTCTGGTATTACTGTGGCGTGCTGATGAGATGATACATGTAAAGAGCTGGCCCAATGCCTGGCTTGGAATAAGATGCTCAGTAAGCGTTAACCGTGAGAAGAACGATGTCATGAGCGTGATGAAGGCGATGACCACTAAGCTCACGGAAAACAGTGCCTGGCACTCACATGAGCAACCGTGCACATCGTGAGCTGTTCTAGGCAGGCTGGCTTTTTTTGGCAGCAGCAGCAGGTAATAGGGGAATGGTAAGCAAGAGCAGGACCCTAGCCAGTTTCTCAGGGTGGGGCAGCCCATGAGTTAGTCATCTCAACAAAGGAGCCATAAATGCTGGCCATGCCATCCGGCGGTGGGGGTGTGGGGGGGTGGGTCTGAGGGCTTCTCGGGGAGCTTGAGCCGGTGCAATTGCCTGTCTGGTTGGTCCAGTTAGGAGTTGCTTGTGAAGCACCTTAGGGTGAAATCAGCCATGAGACCAGGAGCTGCAGACTGCCTCTGCAGGGCTGGGGCAGACTGTCTGGAAAGCTCCCAGAAGCTGAAAGGGGGCAGGGCAGCCAGGGCAGCAGAGGGGGAGATGAACCCCAGCGCTGAGGGCTCAGTGGGGGGGGGGCTGTGGATGCCGTCCCAGGGAGGGCAGCCAGAGATGGTCAAGGGGTCCCGGGGGCCCCCATGGGACTGATGCGCTCTGAGGACGGCAGTCTTACTCACTGCTGTACCCCCAGCTCCTGGAACAGTGGCAGGAGAATCTTAGGCACCTGCCTGGGGGGCATGAGTCGAACACATGCTGTATGATCAGGCCACCCAAGATGGCTGCTGTCTTGCTCTCCGAACGTCCCTGGCTTGATCCATCCCTGCTTCTCCTACACCCTACTCACATGGCTGACCCATCCCGTCACTCACAGAGCCTGATCTGCCCACGTCTACACACTTGTCCCCTGACCCCAGTGAGTGGCTGTTCTAATCTTCAGATAAGAACATCTCCACCATAGCTTAACAAAGAAACCGAGGCTCAGAAAGCGGACATGCCCCTGACAAAGGGGCATGAGGGGCGTGATCCTTTGCTGGTTTCTGGATCACCGATGAGCCATCCTGACATCAGTCCCCCCCATAACTAGGAACCTCTCCCTCCCAATCCCCGGAAGTGAAGACTGCAGCAGGTCAGCCACACACAGCAGGGTGTTGCTCCAGGATCTTGCTTCAGACGTCTGAGATCGCCCATCTATTAAGCTGTTAATGTTCGTCACTGACTCTGGGCTCTTTCTCTGGTCTTGAGGCTGGGCTGGTACAGGGCTTGCCAGCCTGTGGGGTGCAGCCCAACATGCTCCACGACTCTGTCGGATGGTCTGGTTTAACCACCAAGTGGGTTTGCCCGTGGGAAGCAGTGTTCCTGGAATCCATAGAAGTGGGTCAAGCCCTAGCACCCTACTTACCAGCTCTGAGGGGCCATGACCAAGGCATTCCCCTTTCTGAGCCTCAGTTGCTTCATCTGTAAAACAAGAACTGCAATATCGGCCTTGAGGGGTGCTGGGCAGACGGGAGATGGTGAAGGGGTTCAGAAGTGACAGTTGTTGTCATCTTCCACGCATCTGGGGTGACACCGGAGCTGTGAGTCGGGGCTGTGGGACTGGGCTGGTGGGGATGCAGTGTCTGTTGAACTCTGCATTAAGAAGTTTTGGGGAGGTGTGTTAGCTGGAGTCGGATAGACCTAGAAGCCATTGCTTACTTGCTGTGTGACTTTAGGTGGCTTACCTAACTTTCTGCGCCTAAGTTCTTCATGTGAACAAAGGGGGACCTTGAAAGCAGCCCTTCTAGGGAGTTCTTGCAAGAGTAAATGGGGTCGTATGTGGAAGGCACAGTAAAGGCATCACTCAGTAAAGGGGGATTTCCTGCTCTGTGACGGGAGCTAGCTCTCACTGGCGGGGTAGGCGGGGAGTGGGGTGGGAGCTAGCTCTCACTGGCGGGGTAGGCGGGGAGTGGGGTGAAGGAGCTTTGCGAGCACGAATGTGAGATACAGTGAGGGACTCTGGTTTCACCTGAGGGAGGGGGCGGAGGTCCGTCCCTGATGTGTCGGGAATCCCAGCCCGCTGTGTCTCTGCTGACGGATGGGTAGGTGAACAGAGCCATCCTGTGAAGGCTCTGAGGTCCCAGAAGATGTCCGTGTCCGGGCAAAACCCTGAGAAACGCATTGGACTTCATCTCTTGGGGGATCTTAACCCGAGCCCACAGGGAGTGGGGTAAGGAGCAGATTCTGAATCTGAACCCCAGCTCCCCCGCTCTGCCACGGTGCGGCCCTGGGCGAGCCACTTAAGCTCTCTGGGTCCCTATTCACAGAACCGGACAAAGCCACCTTCCTTGCAGGGTTCCCTGGAGGCCGAGCACACAGCGGGTTCTCTGTAAAGGGGAGTGATTTGTGCAGGCTCCGCGGAGGGCGAGGGAGTAGATGTTAATGAACGCTGGGGCTGGTCCAAAAATCCAGTCTATGAAACTCCTGCCTGCAGCTTCTGTTGCGTTGCTAATGGGAGTTTATGTGAAGGACACAGCGGGATAAGGGCCCATTGTTCCGAGTGGGGATGGTTTATGACTCTTAGAAAGCGTCTTTCATCTGGGAAACCAGGGAGCGTATGGAACCTCCCAGCCCTGGGTGGTGAAACTGGGGGATGCTGAAGGCTTCTGGGGCGGGTGCCAGGTCGCTGCCTCGGTCGGGCCCTCCTGCTGGCGCGTCGTGGCGGCCCCGCCTGCCTTTGCCCAGGCCCGGGACCGTCTCTCCGGGAGACCTGCTGTCTGGTCCCCGGTCTGCAGCCTGGTCTGCTCGGCAAGGCTGGAGGCTCACAGGTCTGTGGGGCTCCCTCTCTGCTCCCTCCGTCAGCGGCCGGTGCCACTGCCTCTTCATCCTCATGGCAGCTTCTAGAATAGGCTTTGGACTCTGTCAGCTGTCAGCTGACCGGCAACTCTCCCTGCCTGGGAGGCTCGCCTGGAACCCTGAGCCCTGGGTAGGGGCAGTAACCTGATGCCAGGAAGCAAAGACCTTGTCTCTCTGTCCTTTCTGACTCCTTGGCCAGGGGCCAAGCAGAGAAACCCAACCTCCCCTTGGCTCAGCAGACAGCCCCAAGCGCTCTGCCTACTTCTCCCCTGTGAAGGCTGCAGATACCATGGTGAGTGGATGAGGCTGGCTGCCTAGCTTAGAGCGGGCGGGCACATGGGGTCTCTGGGGTCTGGACTGATGGGCAGAGGGGCTTTATGTGTTTGTAGATGCCTTTGATGGCCTGGGCCGGCACTTCCCCCTGTGTCTTTTCCCTTTTGGGCGATGAAGAAAGGCTAGAGCAGGATGTTTAGATATGCGAATGGTCCCAGAATCCCTGCTCATCCTGCAGCAAGACAGTGGCCATAGGCAGTGGGCACCAGCCTCCTCGTATGATTGGACTAAAAATCCACTCAGGTAAGTGCAAGTGAAGTGTGTGTGTGGGGTCTCTGTGATGACCCACCACTCACTCAGATGGACATTCAAGGCTAGGACAGAATATCACTGTGCCTCAGTTTCCTCATCTGTAAACCAGGGATAAAACTGCCTGCTTTATAGGGTTGCTGTGAGGATGAAATGAGTTACCACATGCTAAGCAATTAAACAGAGACCAGTAGAGAGTGCTGTGGAAGTTTGCTATCACGGTTGCTACTATTTTTGCTAAGTCTACATGATCTGTGTCTCCCTGACTTTTTCTCCAACTTTACTTTTTTTTTTTTTTTGGCTTTTCTATGGCGTTTCTGTTCTCCCAGAACCTCAGCTTGAACTTGGCTGTGGTTTGTTGCAGCGTGAATGCCGGCCCTGGCTCTGCCCTGTCTTTCAGGCTCAGAGCCCCGTGGTCGTTTGACTGACTCGGTCTCTCAGCTCTCCAGATGGGAATTCCTGGGTGAAATGAGCTGATTGGCCCAGTTTGGGTCAGCTGTTGACCCTTTGGTCCAATCGGGTGCTCTGGGAAGGAGTGGGCTGTCCCGGCACATGGATGTGCATGTGTCCTGCCACATCGAATCCAGCCTCTTCAGAGGCTGAGTTGTAAATTTTTATGGGAGTTGTAAATGTTTGGCAGGAGTATCATGAACTGATGGTGTGTCTCTTTCACTGAATCACATCAGGAGCCTCGTGATGTCCAAATGTCCCCAGACCGGTCATGTTAACCCAATCTGATCGTGGGGTGAGGAGGTGTCTGCCAGCTTCTCTACCATAAAGTTGCTCCTTCCCCCTTTGCAGTTAATAAGTATTTCGTGGGAAACTACTGAGTATGCAAATAGCATTCCCAGCTTTCGATTCATTCATTTATTTATTACATCAGTGTGGACTCTTGGCTTCCTATTGTATTTAGTAGAATATGAATCCCTACAATCATTACTTATTGCCATGCTCAAACTGCCCTTGGTTTGGCTAGTGGAGGTCCGTCTAGTCAAGGCTATGGTTTTTCCAGTGGTCATGTATGGATGTGAGAGTTAGACAATAAAGAAGGCTGAGTGCCGAAGAATTGGTGCTTTTGAACTGTGGTGCTGGAGAAGACTCTTGAGAGTCCTTTGGATTGCAAGGAGATCTAACCAGTCCATCTCAGAGGAAATCAGTCCTGAATATTCATTGGAAGGACTGATGCTGAAGCTGAAACTGCAATACTTTGGCTACCTGATACAAAGAGCTGACTCGTTCGAAAAATCCCTGATGCTAGGAAAGTTTGAAGGCAGGAGGAAAAGGGGACAAGAGAGGATGAGATGGTTGGATGGCATCACCGACTCAATGGACGTGAGTCTGAGTAAACTCCAAGAGTTGGTAATGGACAGGGAGGCCTGGCGTGCTGAGGTTCATGGGGTTTCAAAGAGTCGGACACGACTGAGAGACTGAACTGAATTGACTGAATGGAACTCAGCTAGTGGAAGCCTCTTTTGAGTTGGTTTCTGTGTCCTTTTGCTGTGTTGCCATGACTTGTTGAGCAATTTATTAATTTCTGGCCCAAAATATGTTTCAGGCACAGCTTGTTCTTCCCCTGGAACCAGTCATCTTTCCAAGGAGCTTTGGTCTCTTTTAGCAGAGAGTGGTATTTAGAATCCATGACCTGGCTGCAAAATTTGTTCATTGTGACTTGGTAACCCTGCTCCCAGGCCCTTTTGGGGGACAGAGCTCTGAACTCACACCAAAATCTCCAATTCCAGTCTAACACCACAGAATTCATTCTACTTTTCTCCCTTTTCATATTTGTCATTCCTTTAAACAGGGTTTGAAGTTTGAAATCTTGACTGCCACTATACTAGGCTGTCTTTTATCTCTCATCAAAAATATCTTATGATATATGATAAGTATGCTTATGATACTATGGTATCAAATAGCATATGTATCTAATTCTGTCAGTAAGATGTTGAAAAATCTGTTAGACTGTGTTAGATTGATGCTTCAAAATTCTATGGGATTCAGTTCAGTTCAGTTCAGTTACTCATTCGTGTCTGACTCTACGACCCCATGGACTGCAGCATGCCAGGCCTCCCTGTCCTTCACCAACCCCTGAAGCTTACTCAAACTCATGTCCATCAAGTCAGTGATGCCATCCAACCATCTCATCCTCTGTCATCCCCTTCTCCTCCTGCCCTCAATCTTTCCCAGCATCAGGGCCTTTTCCAACGAGTCAGTTCTTTGCATCAGGTGGCCAAAGTATTGAAGTTTCAGCTTCAGTATCAGTCCTTCCAATGAATACCCAGGACTGATCTCCTTTAGGATGGGCTGGTTGGATCTCCTTGTAGTCCAAGGGCCTCTCAAGCATCTTCTCCAACACCACAGTTCAAAAGCATCAATTCTTCTGTATTCAGCTTCCTTCACAGTCCAACTCTCACATCCATACATGACTACTGGAAAAACCATAGCCTTGACTAGATGGACCTTTGTTGGCAAAGTAATGTCTCTGCTTTGTAATATGCTGTCTAGGTTGGTCATAGCTTTTCTTCCAAGGAGCAAGCGTTTTTTAATTTCAAGGCTGCAGTCACCATTTGCAGTGATTTTGGAGAACAAGACTGTTTCCATTGTTTCCCCATCTATTTGCCATCAAGTGATGGGACCAGATGCCATGATCTTAGTTTTCTGAATGTTGAGTTTTAAGCCAGCTCTTCACTCTCCTCTTTCACTTTCATCAAGAGGCTCTTTAGTTCCTTTTCACTTTCTGCCACAAGGGTGGTGTCATCTGCATTTCTGAGGTTATTGATATTTCTCCCAGCAATCTTGATTCCAGCTGTTGCTTCATCCAGCCTGGCATTTTGCATGATGTACTCTGCGTATAATTTAAACGAGTAGTGTGACAATATACAGCCTTGATGTACTCCTTTCTCTATTTGGAACCATCTCTTCCATGTCCAGTTCTAACTGTTGCTTCTTGACCTGTTGCTTCTAAGGAGGCAGGTCAGGTGGTCTGGTATTCCCATCTCTTCAAGAATTTTCCCCCCCCATTTCTTTAAGATAGAAGGAACAAAAGGATTATTGTGCTTTTACAGGCACTGGGACTGAGGAAGAGGCTGAGGGTCCTATGGCGAGTGTGGGGGGCAGCATCCTGTACTGTCTGTGTCCAGCCCCCTGGACATGGGTGTCCATCACCCCCAGTGGTTGTTTTGGGAGAACTTTGAGACTACATCCCTAAGAAAAAGAGCTGCTCAAACTGTCCTCTCCCTTACACCAAGGGCCATAAAGTGGTAGCTCAGAAAAGTCGTTTCCTTCTCTACCTGAGACCCCAGAACCACCTCCAGCTGTGGCTATGCCTTTGACTTCAGCGTGCGTGCTAAGTCGCTTCAGTCGTGTCCGACACTTCGCGATCCCATGACTGTAGCCCACCAGGCTCCTCTGCCCTTGGGATTCTCCAGGCAAGAATACTGGAGTGGGTTGCCATGCCCTCTTGCAGGGGATCTTTCCGACCCAGGGATAGTAGCGGCCTCTCTTACATCTCCTGCACTGGCAGGCGGGTTCTTAACCACTAGCGCCCTCTGGGAAGTCCAACCTCAGGTTGTTTCCCCACAAACACAGGTCTTGCCTTGTAAGGAACCTAGAAGGCAGTGAGGGGACGGCTCAGTGCATCCCAGCTCCCTTCAAAATGCCTGTCCTGCTGAACAAGGACAGCAGTGTTCTGGAAAGAGGTTTCATTTTCGTAAGACAGACCCCATCATCCTCATTCATAATCAAAATGTGATCCAGCATCTCTTAGAGAAGAGTCTGCTTGTGATTGGTTTGATGACACGGGAAATAAGAGCTAGTTGCTTTACGCACACTTTCCATTTGTACTGCCTGTGCGAGGGCGGTATAGGCTTGGGAAGTCCACTTTTCCATCCACTGACTTCTTTTCTGATCTACTACAAGGCTGGGCTGATGGCAGTGGGGCTGGGCTGGGAGGCAGAGGCGGGAGCCCTGGTTCTCATCCTCGCTTGGTCACCAGTTTCCTGAGGAACTGTGGCCAGGCCGCTGAGCTTCTCTGGCCAACAGAAGACACCGCTGTGCCCTGGGCCTCCCCCCTTCCCCGCTCGGCCCTGGAGCCCAGGGGGAGCAGTCCCAGTCCCACCCAGACGTAGCATTCATGATGATGCTTACACAATAGATCCTGCACCACCAGAATGCTCGGCGAGTGTGAAATTCTGGTTAACTGAATGTTCTGGGATGTGGAAACAGTCCCAGAAATCCTTTTTGTTCCTTTTGTGGCTGTTGAAAGCCATTCGCTCATCTATTTAGCAAATATTTATCTCATGCTCCTGCGCCATCGGGCTCTGTCCCAGGTGTTGGGGATTCCAGCATGAGTGAGACAGCAGAGTCCCTGTTTCTGAGGACTCACAGGCCAGGG